GAATCCCAAGGGTAACAGAACCACAGAATGACCGTTTTTTGACTTCGAGTATATTGCGAAACCGTTGTACAAAAAAGCGTTGTTCAAGCGATTCAACAGCTCCAGGAAGTTCGAGATGTCCGAATTTCTGAACGCACTGCTCGAAGAAGATTAAATCTGTATGGACTGATGGCTTTTCACCCCGTAGTAGGACCAGAATTGACCAAAACGTAGTTACACTGCTCCCATTTGCTCGAGAACGCAGCCATCGGTCTTTAGCGGCCCATAGACGGTCAACATTATTGTACAATATAGATTGCTCAATAATTTGACGGTTGCCCCTTAACGTACAATAATACTGTACAAAATTTTGTTTATGCAATTAACTTGAATAGTTTGAAGGCGATATTGAAGTTTGTGCAATATTTTGTGCACTTGCTGATACTTCACAAACTGACTGATATTGCGCAATAATGCCAACAGACGGTGCAATATTTTCCAGGTTGTACAATATACAAATATATTTTCATTTCGTCAATCATGAAATGTATTGCACAAACTTTCAATGTCGTCTACACACGATCAATTAGATTGCACAACCCAAAATATTGTGCAATATTATCGTCTATAGGCCGCTTTTGGACGATTGGTCTGCTTTTCAGATGAGGGTAGTTTTGCTCTACTGTGTTTAGATGGGTGTGAAAGAGAGCAGAGAAGGCGAAACGAAAGGTACGAGAGCCGACCATTTCAACGTTGCTCAGTGATGGTGTGGGCGGGAATTTCAATGGAGAGTTGCACAGATTTGGTTCTTGTTCGTGGAGACAAGACGGCCACTCGCTATGTGGATGAAATTTTGGAACATCATGCCTATCCTCGATGAAATCAGTGATAATCCTATTCTAAGGCACGATAATGCCAGTCCACATGTCGCTAGTACAAGCGTACCTTCATCCGCACAACAACAGCCTGGCCAGCCCTTTCTCCAGACTCAAAACACCATCGAACATTTATGGGATAACCTCAACAGAAGAACAATACCACGTCCATCACTTCCTGAAACAATCCACGATCTTGAAAGGTCTCTTCATGAAGAATGAGCTAACCTCCATCAAAGAGACATTTCCAGAATGGTAGAGCCGTTTTCGAGGTGTAATTAAGGCAAGAGGAGGAAATATGCGATATTGAAATGTTAATTAAAAATCTACAACTAATTTGGTTTTCTTCATTATCCTTAGCAATTAACATTTTTAGACAAAGACTCAATTATTAAACGTTCAAAAACCAGAAACTTTGTTTAATATATAAAAACTTATACAAATCATAGTTATATTACAAGTGGGTGGAATTTTTTTTACCTGACAGTGAACATATTTTTCAAAAGTTAGTTGTATCTGTTCCATAGTAAAAAGAAAAATGCACGAACTTTGTACAGTCAATGGCTGATTTATGCAGGGTGGGCCCAAACGAAACAGAAATACTTTGAGGATTTATAGGAAATTTCATGCTGAACAAAAATGTTCCTAACAACATAGGCCCCCAAATAAAGCCTTCTATGAGAAAAACACAAAAATCTCTAAAAACCGTGATTACTAAAACTTTTTTTTTTCAAGAATTACTATTAGGAAGTAATTCTTGAAAAAAAAAAAAAACAGCTCCAGTTCTTCCTTCTTTCAAGTGATTTACTAACAAGCCAAAACTTTCAAAATTGGCCAAAACTCCTGGCTCCAATGCCTATGAGGTGTCGTTGGTCTCATTTTACATTATTTCTTACAACGAAGTGTTTTGTTTATTTCAAAGTGTTAACATTGAAAAAATGTTTAAAAGTTTTTCTCTGGAAAAATGTGGTTATTATATCAAAAAATCAAATCTTGGCAATGGATTTAGATAAAAACGTGCGGTTGTCTTCATTCTACTTAAAAATTAATTTTCGAATAGATTTTTTTCTATAGTATTTTGAGGCATGAATCCATATGGGAGTAATTCTTAAAAAAACTACAAAAAACTCTATTTTTAGAGGTTTTTCTGTCAGAAGGCTTCATTTGAGGACCTATGTTTGTAGGAATTTTTTTCAACACGAAATTTCCTGTAAATTAGATTAAGATAAAAACGTGCAGTTGGTCTCATTCTACTCAAAATTTAATGCTGGAATAGATTTTTTTTCTATACGTATTTTGAGACATGCATCCATATGGGAGTAATTCTTAAAAAAAGCTATTTAAAAAACTATTTTTAGAGGTTTTTCTGACAGAAGGCTTCATTTGAGGACCTATGTTTGCAGGAAATTTTTTCTTCAAGACGAGATTTCCTGTAAATTAGATTAGGATAAAAACGTGCAGTTAGTCTCATTCTCCTTAAAATTTAATGTTGGAATAGATTTTTTTCTATAAGTATTTTGAAACATGAATCCATATGGGCGTAATTCTTAAAAAAAGCTATAAAAAAACACCATTTTTAGAGGTTTTTCTAATAGAAGGCTTCATTTGAGGGCCTGTTTTTAGGAACGTTTTTGTTCAGCACGAAATTTCCTGTAAATTAGATTAAGATAAAAACGTGCAGTTGGTCTCATTCTACTCAAAATTTAATGTTGGAATAGATTTTTTTTTTAAACGTAGTTTAAGACATGAATCCATGAATCCATATGGGAGTAATTCTTAAAAAACCTATTTTAAAAAAAACCTGTTTTTAGAGGTTTTTCTAATAGAAGGCTTCAGTTGAGGACCTATGTAGGAACTTTTTTCTTCAAGATGAAATTTCCTGTAAATTAGATTAAGATAAAAACGTGCAGTTGATCTCATTCTAGTTAAAATTTAATGTTGGAATAGATTTTTTCTATACGTATTTTGAGACATAAATCCATATGGGAGAAATTCTTAAAAAAACCCTGTTTTTAGAGGTTTTTCTAATAGAAGGCTTCATTTGAGGACCTATGTTGTTAGGAACTTTTTTGTTCAGCAAGAAATTTCCTGTAAATTAGATTAAGATAAAAACGTGCAGTTGGTCTCAGTCTACTTAAAAATTAATTTTCGAATAAATTTTTTTCTATACGTATTTTGAGATATGAATCCATGAATCCATATGGGAGTAATTCTTAAAAAAAGCTATAAAAAAACCCTGTTTTTAGAGGTTTTTCTAATAGAAGGCTTCATTTGAGGACCTATGTTGTTCGGAACTTTTTTCTTCAACACGAAATTTTCTATAAATCCTGAAAGTATCTTTGTTTGATTTGTGCCCCCCCCCCCAAAGTATAAAAAGCTCACATAAATGCATAAAAAACATATTTGTTCAGAATCTAACCTAAAACCTTTATCTTTACTCCAATGACTGTTTACCTTCTCCTGTGTATTGGTGGTCCTGGGCCAGACCTCCTCAGACCATCCGTACCAGTCGAACCGGTTGACATAGTCAACAGCTATATCATTTCATCCCCAAATGCCTGCAGTTCTTTTTTCCAAAAAATTCTCTTTAGGTTCTATGTCTTATTCCAAAAATTTTATATTTGCAAATCCTGTTAATTTAGCCTAAAAATAGAAATTTTATTAATTTTTTTAAATTTAACTGGCTGACCTATAGTCATCTTACTTTCCCTTAGCAAACAAAATGTCATCCAGCCTGGCGTTAACTCAAACCATTGAACAAGGATCAGATCAAGGTTAAAAATAAAAAAATCTAGTACTTTTCCATTAAATCCTTTTATTAATCAGTTTGTTATTACTTTCTTTATTCTGTCTCTCAATATAATAAAGCATTACTTAACGTTTAAAAACATAAAGAGTAATAAATAAGAATAAATATTACAAATACTGAACATTCTTATGACATTTTTCTACATGATCAGATATCATTTATTTATTTATTTTTATATATTTTTTTTAATAGGAGGAAGAATGATGGGTTGATAACTTTGAACAACTGCAAAGGATTGATTTTCTTTTAAATAAGTTACATACGTAGAAAAAAGGAAACATTTAAGCAGGGCAGAACAAAAATAAAAAATAAATGGAAATGGCTAATATAAATAAATAAATAAATTCATTTTTTTCAGCTAAGCATCTTGTAAAAGTTTGAATTTTCCAAAAATATAAATACTCTGAGCCCGCCTCTTTTATTTCTCAAAATTCTATTTACAATTCGTTACGATATTAATAATAAATTCTTAATATTTATTAACAAACTAGGAATGTGACGAATTAATCTAATTAGGATATTTAGTTTATAAACTTAATTAATAAAATAAAAGAAGAAGGGGCGCAGACTGGGTTTTTTTTACAATAACTTATTTTCTTTCATATTTTGGAAAATAAAACCTTTTTTTTATTTTGCTTAAATTTACCTATTAAAAAATCTCTTTTTTTACATTCACAATACGTGTGTACGCATGCAAAAAAAAATTAACACCTAAAGACTCGTAACTTTTTCTCATTTTTTATTCATTCAAAAATTTGTCTAAAGAAAAAAAGTTTTATCGAATCTTTTAATTTATACTATATTTATATATTTTTTTTAAATTTATGTTATTTTTTATAGTTTAACGAAAAGACCCTGTTTGATAACAAGAACAAAAAATATTAGGGTCGCGAGGGAAAATGGTTTTTAAATTAACATGCAGTATAATTTAAACAAAGAAGACAAAGAAAAACTTCATCCTTCAGTCAATATAAGAAATTATTATATATAAAAAGAAGTAGAGAAGGATGAGTATTGGTAACTATAAACAACAAATTTATACTAATATTTAATTACATTTTTTTTTGTAAAAAATTGTAAGGGGAAAAAGCTAAAAACATTTATCACACACATTTTTTATTAATATTATTTTTTTAATACAATTTTTGTCTGACTATTTTTTTTCCTCCTGCAAAACTGATCAATAAATAATTTCTATTTGTATGGGAATGCTTTAGCAGGTTTTTCCCCTTTTTTTCCAACTTATCGAAACAATCGCAAATAAATTACATTTTATATATAAATAAATTAATAATAAATTTTAAAATAAATTAAGGTTTTTGTTTTTTTTTCTTTTCTGCTAAACTAACTAATAAAATCCTTCGTCATTAAGGCGACGGACGTTAATATCAATAACTGGTAAATTAATTAGAATACAACGGTTCTTTTCCTCTCGGTATAATTTGGAATGCAGGATAAGAAAGGAAGAGCTGTGAAGACGGCGTTGTTTTTTTTGTTTCTTCTTTTTTTGTTTTAAAGTATATCACAGGTCTGTCGCTCGTCTCCGTCCCTTGAATATTATAGTTTTATCAGTCAATGACAAAAACCTTCATCTCATCGATGGCTTTGCACCAGTCGAGTGCGTAGCCTTCTGGTTCTTCGAGGTAGTACGTTCTATTAGGCTGTAACAAAATAAATAAATAATTAGTTTGTTACATACTGTATACAATCGCATATATTTATTTTTGAAAAAAAAAAAAAAAAAAAAAATTACATTGACCCATTATTCAGATGGAGACAACCAAAAACACATTTTATAATAGTAGTATTTATTTTTTTAAAATCAAGTATCAATTTCAGGGTGCTGCCCTCTCCCCGTCTTCCGTTGTTATGAATGTTCAGTTTCATGGATTACAAAAAAAAAGGAAAAAAAAATACTTACGGTATGTACAAAGAACGTCTTGAAATTCTTTGGTTCAGTCGAAATACTCGAGGAATATGGGATTTCGCCCTTTAGGACCATAGTTGCTGGGTCGACGTAGAACAGCCTAGGCCCTTCGGTGAGGAGGAGCATGCGCCGTCGGGAGAAAAGACCCTTACGCTTGTTCACGATTCCCTGTTTCAGTATGAGTCGTCCTTCGACAAGCTGGTGGTACCGGGACGTTGCGGCCTGTTCGAGCAGTTTGGCCTTCTTAAGCTGTGGGTCGCGCATTATAGCACTGACCCCCTGGCGCCGGTTCCCTGAGCTTGTCCGGGTCACATCTCCTGACTGGGCTGCTGACGGAGAGCTGACCTCTTCAGCATCACCAAGTCCAAGCAGCCGGCTCAGCTGGCTGTTCAGTCCTGGTTCGATATGGTCAGGAACCTTTATTGAAAAACAAAGATTTAATTCACGGTCAATTTTTATTTGATAATTGTAAAATTTCACTTATTTACATTATAATTGCTATCAGGGACGTGGAAGTACGGTGAGATTTTGGGAGGTGTCTGCAAAAGGATGTTTTTAAAATCGACGCCTTCAAAGAACTTGTGATTCCTCACTGAAACATAGCCTTCTGTTTGAACATCGTCATGTGCACCCAATCTCTCGTTCGGATCCTGAACCTGCGAAAACATTTAAAAAATTAAAACTTCATCGAGGATGAGGGTAAGTGCACACTTACAAGAAGCTTCTGGACGAGATCCTTTGCATCTTCATCAAAACCTTCCGGAAACTCATACTCGAGTTTTTGTATTTTCTGGAAGATTGTATATTCACTGCGACCCCTGAACGGTGGGAGGCCGGAGATCATTTGATAGATAACGCATCCGAGGGCCCACAGGTCCGAGGCGTAGTGGGCAGTCTTATCAGTCAGTAGTTCAGGCGAGACGTACTGTGCGGTGCCAACAAAGCTGTTCCTCCTCTGGCGTCCAGCGCCCTGCGAGGAGTCTGTGGCGGTTTCCGATGGGGTGTTGACTATCTTCGCTGACCCAAAATCCGTTATAAGGATATGCATGTTTTCATCTAAAAGTATGTTTTCTGGCTTCAGGTCCCTGTGTATGACTTTCAGCCGATGGAGGTGTTCAAGGGCCAACAGGATTTCTGCCGCATAGAAACGTGTGCAAGCAGTGTCAAAAGCTCCAACTTTATTTATAAATGGCAACAGCTCGCCATTCTTTGCATAAGACAGTACGAAGTAAAGACTGTCTGTGTCTTGGAACGTGCAGTAAAGTTTAACGAAGAACGGCACGCCGGCAGTGCTGATTATGTTAAGGACATCCCGCTCTCGTTGTACGTATTCAGTCTTTCTCTCACGGATGATGTGCCGTTTGTCACAAACTTTGATCGCATATTCCTTGTTTGTATGGATGTCTTTGGTGAGGTAGACTGTGGCGAAGCTGCCTTCGCCTACCACTTTCCCGAACCTGAAGTCTTTTGTCGACCGCTTCGACGGGACACTGTTTATGCCACCACCTGATGGTGGAACCACGACCTGTGCTGTACCGTTGCATTTGGCGCTGTCGACAGGGTTGTTGACCCCAACAAGGGGCAACGTCGACACTCTCTGTAAAAAAATAAAATTAAAAATTAAACAAACAGTCAAACCACAAAAACAGTTTGTAAAAATGTGCGTTGCCATAAGGTTTGTAATGTTTTGGCAATGCTTCTATAATGAATTTTCAAGTTTCTAGCTTTTATATAACACAAAACGACCTAAATGTCTAATTTATGGATAAATTTGGAAAATCGGTACGGTTAGGTTGTAAGTGGTGATTGTTACAGACAATGGTAGTCCTTGGCTTTTCATGGTTAGCCAGCAGGTGTGGAACAGTCAGTTGTAGTTTGGTATGGACTATGATCATAGAAATAAAAAGTGAAATATTTAGCCATGGTTCGGAATGATCAATGACATTTTTAGGGAGTGGGAATAGTTGACATGGATCATCCGATCCGTTTGCCAGAAGTCATTGGTTTACAAATATACATGCTGTTTTTAGAAGATGAGAAAGATAGAGTTACAGATAGATTAACGACTGGTTTTTGTGGTCATTATATGCGATGTTTAAAGTAATAAACTGTGATGGTTAGTGCCACGGTTTGGAATGATTAACGACTGGTTTTTGCGGACATTATATGCGATGGTTAATGGAAAGAACTGTGACGGTTAGTGCCACAGTTTGGAATGATTAACGACTGGTTTTTGTGGTCATTATATGGGATGTTTAAAATAGTAAACTGTGATGGTTAGTGCCACGGTTTGGAATGATTAACGACTGGTTTTTGCGGACATTATATGCGATGGTTAATGTAAAGAACTGTGATGGTTAGTGCCACAGTTTTTGGAATGATTAACGACAGGTTTTTGAGGTCATTATATGCGATGTTTAAAGTAATAAACTGTGATGGTTAGTGCCACAGTTTTTGGAATGATTAACGACAGGTTTTTGAGGTCATTATATGCGATGTTTAAAGTAATAAACTGTGATGGTTAGTGCCACAGTTTGGAATGATTAACGACTGGTTTTTGAGGTCATTATATGCGATGTTTAAAGTAAAAAACTGTGATGGTTATCGCCACGGTTTGGAATGAATAGGACTTCTATTTGCCATTGTTAAAAGGCTCTGCTACAACTCGAAGACCTCTGTGAAGGTCGTGATTGCGGATGTACCGCGTGATTATTAAAAAACGTTTGTCAGCAGTTCTAACGTCAGTTTACTTGATCCGGTTAATCTCGCTTTGAACAACTCGGGGAACGGTTTTTGTTGAGAAATAAAATATTTCCGACTCCTGCCTGTTTGAATTTTTTTTCCGCACGAACTCGGTAGTTCATCGGTTTAGTGCTGACAAAGGGATTTCGAGCGGCGCGTGCGGTGCGATTCAGCGAAAACCCCGTTCTTCCCCCGTGCCGATTATAATTCCGTTCCTCATCGCGAGTTGGGTCCGCCGCTTATCGCTTGTCCTCGGGAGGAAATGGCTCGGCAGCGGTTCTCGGAAACCGCCGCGCCCCGTCCATTCAACGAACCCGGCTTCTTTTAATAGACGCTGATTCACTACTATGTCCGAACTACATGTAAGGAGCTCTTCTCCCTCTCCGGGCATTCCGAACATTCTGAGGTTCATTTCCACGGAACTGTTTCGAGTCGTCGACGGTTTGACCAAAAAGTCATCTAGTTATATTATACGATTCATATAGAAAAAAAACCCACACAAAACTGTACATACATCTTGTTGAAACGATAAGTAAAAACATAAGATGACCCTCCCCAAGTACAGGAACAAGAATGGGCTTCTACAGTTCTTGGGCGAGGGTTGAAATTGAAAAAAAGCCAATAATTTAGAAAAATATTTTACCATCGTTGCCATGGGTTTGAAGGATCTGGGATGTTGCCTTGAAGTACACGACGAGACGGGCAATGAGAGACTGAAAAGCTAGGAGTGAGGAGGACGAGGCCGGGCGACGCCGCTGGTGGGGGCGATTTCGTAATTCGACGATAATAAAATAACCACGGCGTCAACAATGACGCTGAGCTCCTCTTGAAAAGGCCCGGGCACTTCTGATAAATAGAAAACAGGGGTGGGCACGGCGGCGGTTTTTTGACAAAACAATGCAAATTCTACTAAAAAGGTGACCGATCGACCCCTTAGGAAAATTCGGCCAGCATCTTAGTACAAATAGAATATTAAATTTTAGAGCAATACCTAAAGAGAAAAAATATCTATATTTCAATTATTATCGTCTATGGTCATCTCAAGTGTGGTATTCTCAAAAAGAATAACCATAACAGTATCGCAGAGCAAAGATGTTAGACATTTAATGGTATCTAACGCCCGAAACGTACGTATATGATACATTCAAAATAAAAACAACAAATGATTAAATGATGGTAGAGACATGGGCAAAAAAAGTTCAAAATTTTTTTTCACTTTTTGTAAAAGATAGTTCTACTCACAAATTTTGTGAAAAAAGTGATAATTCCTAATATTGAACTTTTTTTTAGAAATTATGAAAGTAGGGTGAGTTTGTAGATTCACTTTTAGTAAAAGACGGTTCTCATAAAAAAATTTGTGAAAAATGAGCAATCCTATATTGAACGTATTTTAAGAAATGATGAAGGTGGCGTGACGATGTAGATTCACTTTTTGTAAAAGATAGTTCTACTCACAACTTTTGTAAAAAAAAAAAAAAAAGCGATCATTCTTAATATTGAACATTTTTTTTATAAATGATGAAGGTGGCGTGACGATGTAGATAGATTCACTTTTAGTAAAAGACGGTTCTCATAACAAAATTTGTGAAAAAAATGAGCAATCCTATATTGAACGTATTTTAAGAAATGATGAAGGTGGCGTGACGATGTAGATTCACTTTCTGTGAAAGACAGTTCTACTCACAAATTTTGTGAAAAAAGTGATAATTCCTAATATTGAACTTTTTTTTAGAAATTATGAATGTAGGGTGAGTATGTAGATTCACTTTTAGTAAAAGACGGTTCGCATAACAAAATTTGTGAAAAAAATGAACAATCCTAATATTGAACTTTTTTTATAAATGATGAAGTTGGGGTGAGTATGAAGATTCGCTTTTTGTAAAAGATAGTTCTACTCACAAATTTTGTGAAAAAAGCTATCATTCCTAATATTGAACTTTTTTTTTTAGAAATGATGAAGGTGGGGTGAGTATGTAGATTCGCTTTTTGTAAAAGATATTTCTACTCACAAATTTTGTTGTGAACTCACAAAAACATTCAATGTGAGGAATGATGCCTTTTTGTATGGTGTAGTTCAAGGTGTATAATGTCTGGAGACAAGGGCTGTGAAGGTTTGAGTATAATATTTGGAATAATTATTGTTTTAGGTGTGGGCCATAATTAATTCTATATAATCCGAATAGAATGATTATACATATGTTATCTTATATTAAGAGGCAAAAAAGCGGCCTTAATATTTTTATTAATATCTGAAGCAATTCTCCATTGTCTCACAAGAATATTTAATCTGTTAATCTCTAAAAGGTTAGAGGCAAATAAAACACAGATAAAATCTCCCATATTTGCTTTCAATTGGATTTTGTAAATAAATTTTAGAATAGTCAACCTCATTTTTGGTGGTTTTCTGTCAAGCTTCTTTCTAAAGTTCCATTTTTAAATTTCAAATCTGATGGTTTTAAGTGATACAGAATCGGCTAGAATCATATAATTGGAGATGCAAGAAGTCAAGTGTATGTGGCCAGGGTGCTTAACATTCCTATCCCAAGGGTCTTTCCATAGCTACCACTGGAGGTTGCTCTAGAAGGCATGGATCAGGTCGCCTTCGTGTCATAACTCAAAGATAATCATTGTTTCGAATGTTCTCCGAAATCGACCAATGACTTCAACAAGTTTAAGCACAGTAAGGCGAAGACTATCAGAAGCTGGATTACGTCCGAGAAGGTCCAAAACTTCCGACACATAAGCTCGGCTAAGGTTCACAAGGAATAACAACTATTGGTCTGAGAAATACTGGATTAAAATCTTTTATTCAGATAAGTCAAGGTTTTTTAGATCTTCTTCCGAGGGAGGGTTTGGAGAACAGGATAGCGATATATCCCATGTTTACTCCGGTGAAGTAGGTGGTGGTATTACGGATTGGGCGAGCATTTGGGAAGGTCGCACAAACTTGATTTTTATCGTGGGTTCTCTAACAGCTCCGCGTTACATTGAAGATGTGTTATCATAAGAAATCGTTCCTTATATGTTTTATAAGTTTTTTTATGCATGACAATGCAAGGCCTAACAAAACTAGGGTCGTATGTGGTGATTAGTGACCGTTAGTCGAAGACTATTCGGAAATCGTCAGATGCGGTCTGGTGTGATGTAGGTTTTAGAAAAACATTTTCTTTATCGTGCCAACGTTTCGATCTTTATTGAGATCATCTTCAGGGCTCAAAGTGTTTGTCTTCTGTGTAATTGTGCNCGTTGGCACGATAAAGAAAATGTTTTTCTGAAACCTACATCACACCAGACCGCATCTCACGATTTCTAAATAAATATCCATTAACGGTCACTAATCACCACACATTTTCTTTATCGTGCCAACGTTTCGATCTTTATTGATATCATCTTCAGGGGGCTTCAACTCAGTAATTCTAATCAGAGTATAAATACTTTGAATATAAAAAATATTTTTTGCTTGTATTAATTCACTTTTTTCCACATTCTACATGCATTTGTTAAATTTAAACAATGTTTGTAAATCCCAGGCCCTGAAGATGATCTCAATAAAGATCGAAACGTTGACACGATTAAGAAAATGTTTTTCTCAAACCTATATCATAGCAGACCGCATCTCACGATTTCTAAATAAAGATCGATTAACGGTCACTAATCACCCCACATTTTCTTTATCGTGCCAACGTTTCGATCTTTATTGAGATCATCTTCAGGGGCTTCAACTCAGCAATTCTAATCAAAGCAGAAATACTTTGAATATAAAAAATATTTTTTGCATTGTATTAATTCACTTTTTTCCACATCCTACCATGTATTTGTTAAATTTAAACAATGTTTGTAAATCTCAGGCTCTGA